TGATTTAAATATTAGTGTAATTTATAATTATTTTCCTACTTGACATTAATTTTATTTTTATATTATCACATATATCTAATGGTGCTAAAAACCAATTAGTTTGAGTAAACCACACCAATCCAATTTAAGTTTGATTGATTTGGTTATTATATACTAGTTGATTGAATTTGTTTAAAAAAATTTCTAATCAATTAAATTAAATCAATTTTAAAAAATATTAAAATTCAAATCAAACTACATTGCAAACACCCCAACCATTGATAATGCTATGTTAGTAGGCTCACCCTCCTATCAATAATTAAGTGAAAAACATATTGCAATTCATTTTTCTTTAATTTTAATGGATAATTCAACATTTATCTAAATCTTACAATCAAAATAACATTTATTTAATAGTATGTTTGGATTAAGGGAATGAGGGGAAGAGAAAGTTTTTTTATCAATTAAATTATAACGTTTTTAAAATGTTATAATTTAATTGGTAAAAAAATCTTCTCCCCATTCCCTCAACCCAAATATACAATAAGCAAAAAATAAAAATAAAAATATCTTGGTATTTAAACTACTGTTGAGGAATGAATTTGTATCACTTTAAAATTGATAATGCGTGCAATGCCACATCAGCAAGAGCCCACATGATCTATTTTCCACATCAAACATGGTGTTTCTATTTTCTGTTGATTACTGCAACAAAGTCAGCATCATCAGAAGCAATGTTCATCTACTTCGCTAGAAATATTGCAGATATAACCCACTCTAACATCTATTTCTATATACATGGTCAGACACAACTATATCTATCTCTACGACATGGTTGGGTGTTTTCGACAATCGTGTTGTCTACAACAATATTCACAGCTACATTTTTTGGCTCCCAACAATGGATAAAGAACCTACTTTGCTACGCATATATGGCTCCCATAAATTAACAATGGGCTACATCTATATAACTCTTAGCGATAGAAAAAGAACCAGATTTACTATCTTATTTTACCTCCAACAATGGGCAAAAAGCTACATATTTCTACATATTTCATTACATTGGCTCCTAGTAACGGATAAAGGGTCAGATTTCTATATACTTTATCTCATTAGCTCTCGGAAACGGACAAAGAGTCAGTGCAACTTGATACGATTAATGTGAGGCCGGTAACAATTGCAACCTTGTGATTGGATGGGTTAGTTACCCTTCAGTGATAAAAATCCATCAAGTAGTGGTCGGTAATCCCTTGGTAGTCGCTCGTGCATGGTGGTGTGGTGTCCAGTAGGCAACAACAACTAGGACCACCCTTTGACGGTGCGGATACGAGTAGAAGGGCCAGCATTTGTCAATGGTATCACAGCTTGTCATATTGGAGGCCATGGATGTGGTTGGTGTCTCCTTTCCATAGAGATAACTCCAACTATCTTTATCACATATTCATAACTATGGTGGAGTTTGGCTCAATAAGATTTACCCCTTCACGACTTGGTAGATTAGTGGGAGTGCTCTTCTAATTCCACATAGTTTACGCTCTAGTCATAGGCAAAGTCAACCACTATTGCTCCTTTGGCTATGGGAAAGTTATTCATAGCTGACCCTACGATACTTATACAACATGACCGGCAGTCATACATATCATTATTCTTCTATGCAAAGGGACAAAATTATTGATCATCGGTAATCTCGATTCACAATATATCTCTTCAACATTTTTATATGTTAGCAGGTATCGTCGACCAATAATGTCTGGCTCAAGATAACAATATTGCAACACACATCCATACTTCTCATTCTTTATTTTGGCGAAATGAGGTATTTGTGTCAGCCAAGCTTGGAGTTGGCGATGTTGCCCGACTTCGCCAGAAAAGGTTAGGTGCCAAAGATGTGGAGATGGACTTGATTCCCAAAACTGTACCATTTAATACTAATTAGAAGCTTGAAATCCCGTTAAAAACTAACTAGAGATGATGTTTTAGTCCCCATCAGCAAGTTGTAGTTGTATTTAACCCAAAAGTGGCTGCTCAAGTTATACTGTGTTGGAAATTGTTAAAAAAGGTGGTTGCACAAGTTTGACTGCATTGGAAATTGTTAAAAAAAAATTACATTTTGTTTGGAAAATTTACCAAAATCCTAGACAAATTTTATTTTTGTCGACTACACTAAGTGCCCCCCAAAAATGGAATTTTGTATGGCTAAAAGAATTACCAGAAATGGACAGTCTCTAGTCCTTCGCTGTAACCAGCGGTGCTTCATTTGAACCATTAGGTAATTCATAATATCACTACCAAAAAGCTGTCAACAATGCCCAAAACTACTCAAAACTTGACAGCTTACCCAAATCCACTCGTTATGCTACTAGACTACTCTAGCCCATCAACCCAAAAATTACAAAAGTGACATTGCATATATATATATATATATATTATTTTTCATTCATTTTTCAATAGATTAGAACAAATTTCACAACTCCAACTTCCCTCTCGTGCACCAAACCTCCATTTTCCCTTTAAAAAAATCTTTAATCTTCAACCTCTCCTTATACACACCAAAAATACCCAAAAGTCACCATCTTTATTTTATTTTCTGTACTTCCAACACAGTAGAATATTCTCTAGACTTGCAGAACATCATGGCTGGGAGACAACATGCTGTAGTTTCAGTTTCTAGGTTATTTTCTTGAGCATTAGAGAATCAAGCTAAAGAGTTAGTATCAAAAACAGGATCAAGCCCTCCATTCATAAGCCCCCACAACAGTTATCCTTCCTTCTCCCATCACTATTTTCAATTTTATTCCTTCCATCCTTAAGAAATCTTCAAGGAAGTCATTGTGTTTTTCAACTTCAACATGAAGGTTGCTCGTTATAGAGTATGAGTATTTATCAGGGACAGTAAAGAGCACATTCAATGTTTTTATTATTATGTTACAATATAATATGTAAAAATATGCTTCTCAAGTTGTAATATTTCATCCCTACATATTTTTTGTCCTTACTGCTCCTATTATGATGTTCACCTTCTTTTCATTCTTTTTGGTAATTGTGTAATCATTTCCGACTTCAAAAATCCATCATCACTCCTTAGCTCTCTCTCGACTTGGTTGGAAAATTTACATTTTTAGACTTTGTTGGAGATTTAGCTACTAACCATCATCGTTGGACAGAATAAGACAATCTGTGGCACGTAGCCTCTCGCACATGAAACGGGTGCCAGCCAAAAGAACCCTTCTCATTTTCCGTGAGTGGCATCTTAGTCAGCTTCCATGTCATTTTCACTGCTGACTCACCAACTTACATCACCAGCACACCCAAACAACTACACGTAAATATTACTTAAATTACATGTAAAATTAGTTAAGAGTTAATTACTCTCTTTATTCATTTTTAGTGGACATAATTTGATGTTTTAACTTTACAAACATGAATTCCAAATGAAAATTTAATATATTATATAAATTATAATTAAATTTTTTTTAATCAAATAAAAAATACTTGATAAGAATTCTATATAGAAAAAAACTTTTTTAATTATTGCTTATATAACATGTTAAATATTAATATAAAATTTATATTAAAAAAAATTAAATTCAATCATTTAAAAATAAATTGAGAGAATATTAGCAGGAGGGAATATATGAGCAGATAAATGAAAAAGAGATGGAATAACCTTTAGATGGGGAGGTCCCCTAAATCCGATGGTGCTGGCTTTAAAGTCCGGCAAGGGACTCAACGGTAAATCCACTTGTTTTTTTTTTTTTTCTTTTGATATATATTTGGTGAAGGTAGACTTGAGTGCAAAGTGAAAGTGGGGCTTATGCCTTCTGGTACATTCCATATTTTTTTATGTGAAATGAACCAATCCCGTTAGACATCTTATCTTATGGGTGCTTGTGCTTTGATATTCATTGTAAGTATCGAAGAGATAATATCATAAGATTCAAAATCTGTTTTTTTAAAAAAAAAAAAAAAAAAAAGAAAAAGAAAAGAAAAAGAAACAAAAAAAAGATCTTGATCATAACGTTACATATATGCATGCATCCTTTAGAAGCAAAAGTTTGCAAAAGCACTGATACTGCTTGGCCTTGTCGGGGGATTTTGGCTTTGCTCTTTGCTAATTCCTGCAGATACGAGGAGGCTGTAACAACAAAACGAGACACAAGAGAGAAACTCCAGGCGTATGGTAATCTGCACACTTTATTTCATTTATCATTTCAATATAAGAAGCTTTTACTAATCATTAATTCAAGTATCACTTATCATTTGAACTTCATTCTAAAAAAAAATAAAAATAATATAATTATAATGTTATGTAAAATTATAATTTTAGAATCATATTGTAATTGTACGAGATAATTCAAGTCATAAACGGAATAACACATCAGTTTCAACAATGAATTTTAACTGAAATACTTATAAGACTTGAGGTTGACCCTCAAGCTATACATCCCAACACTCAAATCAATACATAGAGATTTTAAGAGGAGTAGGCTATTTAGTAAGGAAAACTAAGAGTGTAATGAACATACCTTGGATGTGATGGTTGGGGAGTATTTGTGGCCATCTAGGGTTGCTTTCCACGTGGCAATTCTCCTTTATCAGCTTTGAACTATTGCAATATACTGTAACTTCATCAGTTCTAGTGTTAGGGCATTTAAGATAATGCCGATCGTGATGTCATAAGCCAAAGACAAAGTTGATTAAGAGCGTGAATGTTTGGCTAGTGTACCATCCATCCAAAGGTTGTGTGTTTGGCCATTCATCCGAAGGCAATGTTTGGATTGGTCCCTCACACAAAAAAAAAAAAAAAATTTAGAACAAGTTTGAAAGGGGGGTTGGAGGATCGAACCCAACCCCAAGGGGATGGGAAATACAATTATCAATATGGTTAATGTCATTAAATCACAAGATTAGGTATGATTCATTACACATATTAATTATTTTTATTTAGAGGCCTATGAGAAATATTTGTATATATCAAAC